GCCAATGGATGACCATTGATCATGATAGCCAGGCTTAGCTAAGTGCATCCCCATTTTGGAGCTGTCCCTTATCAAAAGAAAACATCTTTAAATCAGCTTGCCTGAATAGTTTCTCTGTGGCTGCACCACAGAGATGAAGAGAGAGATGGGGCCTCATTTGGGAAAGCACCGCAATACTTAATTCTGTCTTATTAATTAGCATTGCCACTACACTGGTGATCACCTTTCCTACTGCATGACTTCTGTTTTGTTGATCATGTTACTATTGAAGGCAGCAGCAGGTTGTTACTGAACCAGTACTGAAGGTTACTGAAACATGTTGCTTCTGTAGAAGAAAATGATTCCATTCCAATTGGACAGCTTTTCACCATGTAGCTGGACAGTGACCCAAAACATACAGCCATTGACACAAAGGAGTTCATCAGGAGAAAATAGAGGAAAATCTTTGACTAGTCAAGTCAATCTGCAGATTTAAATCCAATTGATATCATTGCTGGAGAAGAAATCGAAGTCTGAACAGCCCTATAATTAATACAGAGAGTTTGGTGAGCTCAATGGGTGTTACACTTCATAAAGTTATTGTCCCAAAACATTATGCAACTAAAGACTTTCATACTTTTAAATATGTATGAGTATGTGCCAGTACTAATGAGCAGGGGAAATCACAGGGTTCAACCCAAGTATAATGAAATGTATGCATGGAATTACCCAATAAGAAAACATATATAACATATATAAACATATATATATATAGTTGTATAAAACATGCTATAGTACATTGTACTTGTCATTCATATTAATTTCATGATCATAAATACAAAAAGCTTGACTACAGTAAAATGAATAGTTCTGGCTTGTCCCAGTACTTTTGGAGTTGTGGTTGTCCTCAGTCCTTGTGTCTGTGTTTCTCAGGTATTCCCATGTCTCTCCACTGGAGCTGGACAAGTTCCTAGAGGATGTGAAGTAAGTGGACAGTGTGTGCAGTCCCATGCTCTGTGTGTCACTTGAGACAGAGGTCAAAGCAGTCTGCTGACCTCATGCAAAGATTGACTTCGCACTGCACCCCTGCATCGACATAAATGTTGATCACTAACACAAATACCACATCATTTCATTACAACATAAGATGGATACATTGATAGAGACATGCAGAGATAGAGAGAGAGAATTAGAAACAGAAATCAATAGAGGCAGACAGGCACAAAGAATGAGAGAGATAGAAATGTATCTAGACAGCTAGAAATAAGAGATCAATAGAGACAAATAGAGACACGGAGAGAAAGTTCCCGGTCTGACACATGACAGAACAAACAAATTAGTGTCTAGGATCATCATGATGTCTTGTTTTTTTCTGCTCAGAAATGGGATTTACCCCCTGATGAATTTTGCCCCTCCGCGCCCTCACCCCATGCCCCGTGCACTCTCGTTGTCCCAGGAGCACATGGAGACTGTGAAGACCCCCACACCTGAGCCCCAGGAGACAGAGACCAGAAAGGTGAGAGTGGGAAAGGGGCTGGGGTGGGGTTAGGAGAAGAAAGGTAATGGGTGAGTGTTATTCACAACTGTCCAGAGCCAAATCAGAATCCTCAGTTTCTTGAGAGCTAAAAGTAGCAGAATCTACAGCATAACCGTCTGTCCACCACACTCTCAAATAATGCACAAATGCTGTATCCAGTTTTTTTTTAAATAAACATTTTTATTAAAAACGGTAATAAACTGAACACTGTTACACATGAAGGAGGGTGAATGTCGCCCTCACAGTTACTGCTGTGAGGCTTTTTGGAAAGGTCTGTACCAGCTTTGCACGCTAGGATGGTGTAACTCTTAAATCAAGCAGGTTTTCCTCTAGGATTCACTTGTTTGATGCTTTTTCCTCTCCATCCTGACAAGCTGCAAAGTCCCTGCTGATGAGAAGCAGCCCCATCAACATTGTCTTAGCTTAATAAGTTTGGAAATAGATTATCAAGATTCTAAATCTCATATCCAACGAAATCATGATTAGAAGCTTAAACACCAATAAAAAGTGGGAACTTTGCAGGGGACAGGTTACTTTTGTTCAGCACTACATGTTGGCTGTTACTATCTTCTTTTTTTCATCCGCTGAAATGCAGGCAGAAAAACAAGTCAGCTCTGATTAGGCCTACTCGACTCAACTCAGGCCTACTAGCTGTGGAACTTAGGGCGACAGAGGATTTACTGAGAAATAAGATTAAATTGCTATTACTTCAACTTTATGCTCATTGTTGTGGAATTACCAGTAGTTAGACCTGACCCACCTTCATATAAACTCCTTGAGAGCTACCAGTCCCGTCAGCGCAGCCGGATACAATCCCTCATTTGTCTCATCCTCATGCTTCAGTGTCTTCAGTCAGTGAGGAATTTACGCTGTTTTCATGTATAGGAATAATTGTCACAGATTTAAAAACTCAGTGGAAGGTTGTCATTTTGTCCACTGAAAAAATCCACAAGAGTATCCACATGTTTTCAGCTCCTCCAAGTCTGTGCAGAATGGATAGGCCTTTGGATTATGTTACAGATAAGGCTAGGTGTAAGTAGGTTTGCTTTAAGACTTCAACAGGGTGAGTGTATCCGAGTGGAGGTGTTTCAGGGAAACCTCAGTTTCTGAGAGGGCAGAACTAGATTGTGGGCACCAGTGACCCCACGGTGGAGCTCCTCACTCTGCTGGTTTGTGTTACAGGTTGTTCAGATGCATTGTAATCTGGAGTCCAACGAAGAAGGAACAAAAACACACGTGAGTTCTACCTCCTCCAGACTACACTCCCTGAGGAGACTCTGGTCTGAGGACAGAAAGCTGTCTGAGGCCTTCTGTAACCCCATAAACGATGGCCACATCACAGTTACAGAGGCCTTGGCTCCTGCTCTCTTCTTCTATCCCCCTTGCTGTTCCATGACTGTTAATAAGAGATGTGTAAGAGATCCTACTAACTACACCAAAATAAAACACGGATGGTGACCCCTAAATGCAGGAACTGCTTTTATTTTTTAACAGATACTTTGATGGGTCTGTGATGTATTATGTGCTATCAGTGTCTCAATCTTGTCCCCTACCCTTTGAGTATTGCACTGGTCTGCCTGTCTGCAGTGTGGTAAGGGTGTCCTAGGTCTAAGAGAGTTTGCGGTCACATACTTGCTTTGAAAGGTACAAGAAGGGTACAGTTTCCAAATACGAGTAACAGGTGGGTAAGATATGAGAATCTTCCATGCAGATCATATTCAACACTGCTTCGGAAGGATGGATGGAGTTTAATCTGGGGGACAAACACTGTTGAAGCCCATTAGAAGACATGAAGACTAGAAGTGTATTAGAAATAGACAGGAGGGGGAGCCACAGGTCCAGTAAATCTGATTGAGCCTCTCTCCTCACAGCTCACCCTATTCCTAAAGATGGAAGATAAGCTCCACAGGCAGCTCAGCTGTGACATCCTGCCCGGTGAGTGCCACCCCTGTGCACTTCTTCTTAGTTCCTATTTATCACCTGCCAATCCTTCAGCCCTTCCCTGGCTATTTCGCTTGTTCTATTAATGATTTTAATTCTTGGTGTGCTATCTGTGAAGGCTTCTTTTTGGAGTATATTATTGACTGTGTTGTTATTGTTTATACCTCTATCAGAAGAAGAAAGTGAACAGGAGTAGAATTGTGTCATTCCTGAACAATCAACAATTATGATCACTACACCAAAATCGGTTTAGCATTATTGTAACATACAATAAACATAAAATAAAATCTAGCTCACCTGAGTCTGTCTAATCTGCTGAAGCAACAAATCATTCTTATCCGACACAAAACTATCTAACCAGTCTATCACCCAAAGTGAACAAACCTATATCCTTTTACAGCAAAACTCATGTATAAATGCACACATTCCACAACCATTAAACAATCACCAAATTAAACACCAGGTAAAACTATTTTCACAGAAAATCTCTACAAAGCCAGTCTTGAGGTTGTGCTGGCAGCCTCTGCTGGCAGTCTCTTAGTACTACCTGTCTGTCACCTAGACGATTCTTTTGTACTGGTCAAGGGTTGGATTATTCCTCACTGTTAACAGGAATACCAGCCAAATCTATCAGGTGACACAGTCTGGATCTGAATATTAGTATTCTGCACTGCCAGGTTTGTGCAGCATTCAGGGCTAAGAATGAAGCCGGAAAAGACACAGAGAACTCCTGTGTTTTATTTTTCATTCCCAACAGATACATCTGCAGTTACATGCTCAGCAATCACAGTTTACAGCAGAGGGTTGGAATTAACAAGTCATGTCAATTTATAAATGTTATCAGGGGAAGTCATTTTCAGAAACATTTGAAATGTACTAATAAATTCACCTTTTGTTCTAAGATAACATGTGCCACTGTATATTAAAAGAAGGCATCTATAAATCACTTCACAATGTTTTGAACTGACTAGTACTTTGCAGTGTTTTTATTTTTTTATAGTTTTAACAGAACTTTCTCGGCTGATAAAGGAACATTAATTGAATCGTGATAAATACAATGTCCCAGAGTAAAAAAATAAGTTTGTAACATAAACACTGACAATGGAAATGAGGAAAAAAGAATCTAGCAGTTTTTTGTCATCTATGTCTGAATCACAGCTGGAGTCATTGTAAAGGTTACTGAGACAAAACAGTCCATTTATGGTAATGTGGCTGAGACAAATTTATTGACTTCTTAGTTCAGGTATTTTTAAAGATCACTGAGGACTCTCACTCTTCCCCACATCCACCATCTTAGTTAACATGAAATGCCTTCTACCCTCTAATCCTATTACTTGTGTGCAAAATGTCTCCCTGATTTATTGCTGTTATCGTGCTTCTGTCTGAAGTGTGCTTCATTCATTGTGATATGTAACAAGAAATTCTAGACTTAGAGAATCCTTTGCTGGTCTGGAATGCTGCCAGGGTACAACATGATCATATTGCTTTGACACGATTACTGCTGTCAACCATAACTAACAGTCCGACTAAGCAGGGTTTCGAGAGTCCTGTCAGCAACATGGAAGTAAGGAGAAGCAAGAGATCCCTAAGCTCAAAGAAATCACCTGAGCAAATGGAGAAACGGAGACAAATAGTGGCTTCTGAAAACTCAAGTGAAAACTGTCAAGTACAGTGATAGCAGTTTTCTAAACTGAAAAGTGTAAATAGCAGTATTTCGTGTAAGAATAAAAAAATGTATAATAGGGGTGTTGAATGGTAGTGGAAACATCTTTGCTGACTTTATGTACTGTATTTTTTTCTGTATTTTTAGCGGACAGTTCAAAGGATCTTGCAAATGAGCTGGTTCATTTTGCCTTCATCAGTGAGGTATGTACAACAGAACATGTTCACAATGAGTTACAAAGCAAACAGAGTATCTTGTTTATGGGATTTTATCAAAAAACATGAGATTGAATTGGCTGTAACTCTCTGATAGAGATGCTTTTGTTTTAGTGGGCTTCATATGAGGATGAAAAGCTTATCTAACCTCAGCTATATAAAGGTTTTGCAGAAGTGTTTTATGTGAAACATAGAATGTTTCTTGAAGGTTGTTATCTACACCCACAAAATAAAAACACAACAGAAATGAGTTAATAATTATTATTTTAGCTCACTTTATCCCACAGTGCCTTCATAATACTACAAAGATTCAAAAATCAAAGAATTCATTGAAATCTCTATAGACAGAAGGAAACAAACATAAAAGCAATTGAGAGCAGTCCAAGTGACCCATCTAGCCTGTTTGGTAGATAAAAGCTAATTGATCTGAGGATCACAACCTTGAAGGAAGTCAGGGTATCAACTTCAACAACATGGTTAGGTAGCTTGTTGAATACTCCTACTACCCTTTGGGTAAAGAATGCCTCCTTTTCTTTTTTAAATTCACATTTATGTAGTTTTCACTTGTGTCCTATGTCTTAGTTTCACTGTTCATTCTGAGGAAGTCCACTGGGTTGACTTTGTCAGCGCCTTGGGGAATTTGAATACTTGTATCAAGTCCCCTCATAGTTCCGTTCCAGACTAACAAGGTGTAGGACATGCCTTTAAACCCCAGAATATGTATGTTTGATCTTGTCTAGACTGACTCCAGAGCACTGTGGGAGTGTTTCATACAGTACATCATAACTCCCACCTGTGTCTGTTTATCTTAAATGTATCACCTACTTAGAGATTTTGTCTGATAAGGGAGATAAATCTTTATCAAGTTGAGATAACATTACATAACGTTCTGTGTGCTGAAGTTGGTGGTAGTAATATATTTTAGCTAGAGTATTTTTTAAACTAAGGACTGAGGGCAGAAAAATCTAAATCAACAAACAAATCAGTTACATACATCCGCTGGCACTTTTGATTAAGGACCCCGTTGAACAAATTCATGCAGACACAATGCTAGTTTAGGACCAGGATTGAGAACCACTGCTATTCTGCAAGTGACTACTGAGATTGCTAGGGAGAGTGTGACTAGTTTTATTTTTTGCATGTGGAAAGTAGTTCACATTTAAATATATTGAATATATAATTTTATTTTTATATATTTTATGTAACAGGTGCTGTGAGATCGTTATGACAAGCAGACACCTATAATCTCCAGAATTTCTAAATATTTGTGCCTTGTGGCAAACAAAGAGAATAGTACAACTGCTAATATAATTTTGATAAAAACTGAAAGGAAATCTGCATAGTGGGGTGTTGAAAAACCTGGTGGCAGTGTTGTTGAGTGGAACATCTCTCTCCTTGCTCCTTGCCCGCAGGAGGACTGCGACATGCTGGCTGGGTTCTTAGAGGAGGCTCTCAGTAAGTACCGGAGTGGAGGCACTGGCTGGACTGGCATCACAATGATGCATTGAGAATGGCGGCGCTCTTCCTTTGGCAACGGCAGGCCCACCCGGGCCGGGAAAGAGAGAGGGGACAGAGGGAGAGGAGGTCGCAATGCTCACACAGAGAGAAGCGGATTCTGGAATGGGTTGTCAGCTGTCACAGGTAGATCAGACCCGACTGCACCGGAAGAGGAGACTGAGCAGGTGAAGCTGGAAGAACAGGAGCAATACCCAGAGCCCTCGTCACATATCGGACTTTCATGACATTCCCAAGCTGTACCACAACGCTATACATTTCTATTTCAATTTCCTCCTTTGAAAGTCCTCCTTTTTATTAGAGATTAAGTGTTTGCTTTTGAACTTAGTTTTCTGTCTTTAAAAGGCCTCTCCTGCCAACCACTCTGGTTTCTGTGTTTATTTCTGTCCTGCGTTGCATGGATAGCTTGGGTTTCAGAGATGTTCAAATGACAGGAAGGAGGAAATGTCTGTAAAAGGGATTTCAGCCCAATGAGGATTTTCATGTGGCTGTTCCCTGAGGGCCACAAAGGAGCACAGACCGGGGGAGCAGAGAATAGAAGATGCCTTCTCAAATCCCAGAGGCTGAAGGCAGAACTCTGAGACATTCTAGAAAACCCTGCAACTCTGGGTGAAACCTGGGTGTTGTAGAGAACCGCAGTCCAGTATCACGCAGCCTCACCATCCACCAGCTCAGCAGTTAGTGGATATCTGAACGGTGTACTCTACAGTGAATAGGATCCCCAAGCATCAAAAATGTATGTCACCTGCAGCGAGCAAGTACTTTCCTGATACAAACCGCATTCTTTATTCCACAATGAAATGTGAAATACAGAGGCCGGGTCTGTATAACTTTATTTTGTTTGTTCTTCTTGTTGTGTTATACTCCAGGAACACATTAAGAAAGACCCTGGACTGTCTGAAACTGTGCAGTACATATTAAGCAATGTATAGAAAAGTGAATCATCTTAATAAATATATAAAATATTGTTAAATTTCATATAGAAATAGTTTATTTTAAAAGAAATACTGATAAATCACATCCATCAAACGTGTATAGCCTCATAGGCGATAGACTTTGCAGCTTAAGTGTTTGATCTGTTTTAATCACACTAGTATTATAGTATTTCCATTCCCAGAATGAAGCACTCAAGTATGAATCTCCAAAAATTAAATCAACAATTTAAAGTGGCAGAGCAGTTTAAGTGGCCAGTGAATATGCAGATCACAATTCTTTCATTGTGTTTCTTTCCTTTTCCCGAAATCTTATTCTCACCACACCAGTTCTGATCACCAACCTGGAACTGTATTTGCTGCAGGCTTTTCTTCATGGGCTCACATAGATAATTTAAATCAACACCACTAAATCAACCCTGTGAAATTATTAATTGGCCCTCAATTGCCCCTATGGCTTTCTGGGACTTTTATTTCTATTCAGCAAGCTGCAGCTAAGAACACAAATGTTATCATGGCAAGGCAATGCGTATAATCTTTTTCCGTTTTTTTCCTTTTTCCATTTTGCCACAAAATAGCCCTTTATACTGTCACCATTTGTGGCCACACTCTGTGAATGGGAATCGTATAGATTGTAGTTTCTGGAATTAGCCCTTAGCCCTTTTTCCTGAAGACACTACCAAATACAGTACTTCCACCCTCGTTTCTGCTTAGTTTATGATTGAACTGTAATGACACATTGCCCCAAATGTGACTGCATGATATCAGGTTATCTACAGATAGTAAATGCTGCATTTTTGCCATTCCAAATATTGTCTGTTACACAATGTACTGCGCAAGGCTGCATGGAGCAGCACTGCTGCCTAAGTAGTATGTACTGCAGGGTCCTGCTACAGTCATCGAGGTCATACAAATAGCAGAATGACCTCATTTTGTCCTGAAGCTATGTTACCTACACCTTCAAGTGATTCTGTTTCCAATAATGCCTTAGCTATCGAATTGAGCCTTTTTAGTATGTACATAAAGATAGGAATGGATGAATAGACAATAACCAGTATATCCATCTCTTTGACCCCCCCCCCCCATCTCTACCTTGGGTCCATGGAATGCAGATGGGCTCATTGTTTTAATCAACTGGTTCTGTGCTGTGTTTGTTTTTTGTTTGTTTTCATGTAAACTATTATAGACAACAAAAATGATCATAATTAAACATGATTCAAGTCTTCCTGAGATGCTGAGATTTATTGAGCCCTTGCTTGTTTGTTCATTGTGTGCTGACTTCATGTGTAAGACATTAACAGTACATGCTAGATGTATGTATGTTTCTGATGGAACTTCAGTGATGGGAGATTGGCTTTTGTCAACACTGAAGACAAAACTATTCTCTAAAGCTTTTGAAGGCATAAGTTAACTTTACTCTTCATTTTAAATTATTTTTTTTCTTTTTTGCTCCTGTGTATTGTGTTACTGTACACGACACTTTAGGATTATTGAAAAACACTTAGAATTAACTATTATCTACAGTGGGGTTACTGGTGTATAATGGCTGCTTTATTTAAGTTATAATGCAAAACGTTATTGTTTACTATTACAAGACAAAATTGCTTTTTTGATTGTTGCCACCTCTTATGAATATAGTCTTTTTTATTATGTTACTTTTTTAGAAACTATAACGTCTGCTAAAAAAGGTTTACATGATAATGGTTAGAAATATTCATTGTATGAGGAGGTACATGTAATGTGTACGGTATGTTAATAAGGTATATGCATACAGTGTATTTCTGTCTATAAATCTCTTTGTAGGTGACCAATTAACGTAAAGACGCAGTTGGAAACATTGAACACTCTTGGCAAGGCGATGCAGAAGAACTTTTAACAGGTAAAAACATTTTTTAGAAAACGTACTGTATTAACAGACAAGTACAGACCAATTAACAGCAGTGATCAGGCACTCAGCCGGAATGACAGTCTTAACTATGATACGAGGTTCTTCCAGGATCAGAGGTGAATGAGATTCACTGCGTTAGATACAGTAGCGGCATTCAGCAATGCGAATGATCCAGAAGTGTATTTAAATAGCCGAATTTCAATTAAAATAAAAGTCCCTCAACTACCACAATCTGAAACTTATTTTCAGCAACGAAAGGCAGCACCGCTAAACAGTTAACACTTTGGAAGAGTATATCTCAGAACAGGAGATATATTTTTACACAAAGTGTTGTGCGAGTACAAGCTATCCAGCCATGTAGTTGAAAACATACCTTAGTGTATTTCAAGAAAAAACTGGATCAATTAACTACTAACCACTAAACTGGCTAGAAAGGCATAATGACCTCTCATTTGTAATTGTTCTTCTCTTCTAACAAAGTAGACGCTCTATGACCCTCTGAAGAGAAAATTTCTCATTTAAACATATAGTATTTCATGATCTGTTAAAAACTTGAAGCACTTCAAGTTAATTAGTGGAAACTTCAAAATATATACTGTAGGTTATAATACTACCGATTTCAGCACAACCTATTCTGTTTTTTAGTGAAAAAAGCATAGGAGATTTGCTTTCTAGCTCTTTAGGATTCAGGTATCTCTCATATTTCTCTTTACTGTGCTTTGAGACTGAAGTGACTCTTTGGTTGCATTATTGCAGTGTCTTCCCATGTCCTCCAGTTGCCCTTTGTGGACATTCCCAGTGTAGCCTCAGTCCACCCTACTAACACCCTCATAAATCGTTGGAAGCACCTCTTATTGTCACGACCACCAGCCAGCAGAGATCAACGCGTAAGCGAGCTAATCAGTACCAGCAGCGGATTACTATTAACAAGCGCCGCCGCACGAGTTAACACACCTGCAATTGCTCTACCATGCAGCACGCTGGGTTATTTATACTATTCTAACCTACTTCCCGTTGCTTGAGTTCACTTCTTGTTGCTCTGCCTAGCGTTTCTAACCCTTTTGCCTTCCTGGAATTCTGTCTACACCTTTTGCCTTCGGACTTCGGCTCTCATCTCGCCCCTTGGATTGTTTGCTATCTGTGCCTATTTCGGATTTGACCCTGCAGCTCTCTTTTCGACCACGATTCTGTCTCACATTTTGGATTGTTCGCCACCAGTGCCTTTACCGGATCTCGACCTACCTTCGCCTTCGGACTACGACTCAGCTCCTGGTTTTGCTCTGTACGCTTACTTACCTCCCTACAACTCCTGCATCTGCATCGGATCCTTTTCACCTCTACAGAGCAGCGTTACACTTATTGCTCAACAGATACAATTTTGTGCTGTTGTGTCTGCTTAGCTGAACGCACACTGAAGCTAAGCAGTGCCATCTGAAGAAAATTTAATTCGCTCGATTTCAAGAAAATGAGCAGGTGATGAAATTGGAATTTTGGACTTCACTGCTTGGCTTGGTTTAAGTAAACATTTTGTACTGCGCTGGCAGCTACTGTTCTCCATTTTGCAATTCAGTTCAATTCAATTTACTTTTATATAGCACCTTTCACAACAAGGTTGTCCCAAGGCACTTAACAATACAATTAGTGATACATTTTGTAAATACAGAACGGAAGACCAAAGGACAACGGAGGAGGGGAACAAAAAACTAAGGCGAGAAAAAAACCTAATTAAAAATAAAAAAATAATTAAATTAAAATTAATTAAAAAAAGGAAAAGAAGAGGGTATTAATCCATTCATCCATCATGTCTTCTGTGTGTTAGTACTCCATGCAGATCTCTGTAGACCTGTAAATTCCTCCTAAATGATACCTATATCCATGATGCAGCATCCAACTCAGATGGTAACCAGCCCGGGCACCATCCAGACATGTGGGGAGGAGAATAGGATAGTTTGGTCAGAACAGATGTATCTGAATACTGAGATTGACTTGGCATCCCCAATATGGGGTGGTAGACTGTTCCATGAGCTAGGGGCCCTGTAATTAAAGGCTTTACCACCAACTGTTATTTTATTAATTCGTGGAATATGAAGAAGATCTGCATTCTGTGATCTAAGCAAGCGACTTGGATGGTAAACATTAATAAGTTTACCATTAGATAGACAGGTGCCTGACCTCTGAGAGCCTTGTAAGTAGAAGGATTTTGAAGTCCACCCTGTACCTGACAGGAAGCCAATAAAGCCAAAACGTTCGGTCTCTTTCTTTTTCTTTCACCCATTCATTTGCAGCCTACACATGCTGATGCAGCTACCTGCTTGAACTTACTGAAAAGTATAATAAACATGAGAAATCAAAATTCTGTCTCATGATTGTATTTTACAGCAGCTAGTCATGGGATAATTATAAGAATCAGAAACCAGTATTTTGTTGCACAGTAAGAGTAAGACTGCCTACCCAAATTGCTGCAATAAAGTCAACTTTTGGTTGATTATGTATGACAAGGGAATATAATGCCAGATACAGTTTCAGAAGTTTGGTCAAACCATAAATAAAACCATGAAGATACATGATTAGAATACAGAGCTATATTAGGGTAACATCTGCCTGAGAAGGATGAGAAGGATGACAATCCATCCTTAAGGAATGAGCTTTCTGAACATCCCAATAATGTAATCAGTTCATACTAATAATTTTCTGGACACTCCACTCAAAGCGCTTTACAGGTAATGAGGACTCCCCTCCACCACCACCAATGTGCAGC